TGACACCACGTTCTTCTGATCCGGCGAAATCTTGACTTGTGTGATATCCATTGAGTGACCGACCCCGACATAGTCAACTGACCCTTCTTCGTAGCGATAGATCTTGACGAGCTTGTCGCTTCCGCCTATGACAAAGTGTTGTCCGTCGGAGGAGATGTCGAGGCCATTGATGGTGTCGGATTGGGAGGCTTCAAGTTCGCGGATGAGAGTACCATCGTAGGTTTCCCAATACGCTACCTATTTGTCCAATGACAGATCCTATCATCAGGTGGCAGAAGGGGAGAACCACGGACAAATTACATGGCCAAATTACGCACCTTGCGATCTGTCCCACTGGTCAAAACTTGACTCTCGTCCGGGTAATAACAAACGCTCTTAAAAAAGCTCGGAGCAAACAAAACCTGATTTCTCACAAAGCGCAACAAGTCCCACACAATGCAACTGCCATCCGCCGAACTCGATACACATTCCAGATTGTTTTTACGGAGTTTGATGGCCGTAATCGTTCCCTTGTGCTCTTTAAGGGTTTCGAGAAGGGTTTGATGGGTAGGTGTTATCGACCAGATTCGGATTTGACCATCTGAACCACCCGAGACGATGCGGAAGGCTGGGGAATGTGGGCTGGTGGGAGACGTAACTGCTAGAGCGGTGACACCCTTTTTGTGGGCATCGGTGATTTCGTATTGAAGGCGGCCAGTTTGGGGCCCAAAGGCTCGGATCTTGCCATCGTTCCAGCCTATAATGCCAAAAAAGTTGCTTAGACTTGTGTTTGCATCAGGTGTTTAGGATTTTCGGTTGCAGCTTACCACTAATCAAGCTGGAACCATCCTTTTTGAACGTGATGCATTTGCACTCTAAATTAGGCACCGCAATTCGCAACAGCTCTTGAGAGGTATGTGCGTTCCAAATACGGATATCGGTGTCAGATGCTGTAGCAAAGACGTCTGACGAGTCCCTAGGTTTTAAGGTTGAAACATTCAACGGTGAATAGTCATGAGCAACTTATCATGGGTCTTACTCTGGGAATGCGATATCATTTACTGCAGAATAGTGGCATGTTGACTTCAAAATGGGTTCAAAATCCTGAACGGACATGTAGTAAATGTTTGAGTAGGATGTACCCGCATACAGATGTGCCGGTGTATCAAACGTAAGGGATGTGACGCTTCCGCTGACTTTTGTTTGCCTATTTTTGAAAATATAGTAATAGTTTATGAAGTGCTTGGCGTAATTGGGTTTGTCGCAAGATGAGACTTACTTGATGATATTTAGTTTAGGGAGTTTAAGAGCAGCAATGGTA